CCTTTTCCATGAATTTGTCTATTTTTTCCTCATTTTTGTCTGCTTTTTGCTTCAACTCTTGGATAATTCTGAATATTACAGATTTGAATTCCCTATCAGTTAGGTCTAGAACCTTTCCTTCTACTGGAAAGTTATCTGGTGTTTTATTTTGGATGCCTACTGGAACCCTCCTGTCCTGTTTTTGTAAATGTTTTGATATTGTCTACTGTCTTCGGGGCATTCAGTGGTTATTTTCCTCATTTATTGATTGTAGTTTTGTCCTGCTTTTTTGTTTTATTTGGTTATGTCTGAGCAGGCGGGCTGTGCATTCTTTGTTGTTTCCTTGTCTGTTGGCATGATACTTTTCACCTCCTTCTCAAATGGACAGGGTCAGTCACTCAGGTATGGTACAGCAGGGCAGGTCCAGCTGAAAGGGAGTTGCCAGGATGGGTTGTTTGTGGCATGTACCAGGACTGACAATGGGGACTGGGAATCAGTGCAGAGCAGGTTCTAGCAGACTGGGCCTGTGCCTCTTGGAGTGTGATGTTCAGCGCATGGTGTAGGTACGCAGGAAGGAGGGGGTAGATTGTGATGTATGGAGCTCAGATGAGTATGGGAAAGAAGAGAGAGAAGAGAGAGGAACAGGAAGCAAAAACATACACACAAACATAAAAGAGTGCTAAGTGAGCTTGCTATTGGAGTGGAGAGATGAGAGACTGAGAAATGAGGAAAACAAAAGTAAAAAAAAGAAAAAGGGTAAAAGAAAAAATGAAAAAATCAAGAAACTGGAAATGAAGAAAGACAAAAAGGAAATAAGAGAGAAAAGGAAACAAAACAAAGAAACAAAAAAAAGAAATGCCCCCAGGGATGTTCCTGTGCATCTGCGCAGAGTGGGAGTACCTTCCAAGCCACACAGTACTGACCAGCTAGAAGGGGCTCCTGAGCTGAGAAAAGAAAAAGAAAACAAACAAACAAATCAGAGCAAACAAACAAAAAAGCCCTGGGGGTCCCACCAGAGTGGCGGCACAGGCCAGGAAGCAGTTTCGCAGTCAAGCAGTGTTTCGCAGCCTTTCAGGAAGAAGCAAAGATGGCGCATGGAGCCAGGTATTTGAGGAAAAGGAGGCGGAGGTGGTGAGAGGTAAGGACGAAATCTAAAGAAGGGGAAAAAAGCAACACCAGCAGCCAACAAAAGGCACTCAGGGAGCTGGCTAGTGCGGGTGGGTGGAATCCAAGCAACACCGGGTTGAAGCTGCTGCTTCCCACCCAAGAGACTATGGCTGCAGGAGGCAGAGGAGGCTAAGTAGGGGCGAAGAAGGGTGGGGGGTCAGAAAGCCTATATTGCTGGTTACCAGTTGTTCTGTCTCCTGCGGGAAGCTCTGTGAAGCTGCTTTCTCGTATACCTTGTTCACTGATCTCTGATAGGAGTCCAAGATGCTGGATCCATGCTGCAGTAGCTGATAGGGGTCCTCTGCATGTTATCTCTCCTCACTGTCTGTTCTTGGTCAGTTTCTTATTCCATTTTGTGCTTGGCTGAGGTCTTTATCTCTTCATTTGATGCTTAGGGTTTCAGGATTGACTTGTGACTCTGTTTGACTTAGTTTTTCTGATCTTTGCTGCGGAGGGATGCCGTGGTTCTTCTTAGAGGTATTTCTAATGTCTGTGCAATATTCCATTAAATGGATATACCGTAAGGTACTTATTTGTCTACTGCTGGGCATTTAGCTATTTTCCTATGTTTTCTATTATAAAAAAGTACTTTGGTGAACAACCTTTGTAAACATGGCGTGGGGGCGGCGTCTGACCTCCTCTA